GAATTTTGCAGTGCCACTTTCTAGCTTTATGACCTTGGCCAAGTCTCTTCACCACTCTGCATCTCAGTATGCTTATCTGTAAAATAATTGTCATGAAGGATACATAAGATGAAATATACAAAATGCTCAGCACAGTACTTGGTATTTAAATTGCTCTATAAGATGTATTAGTAGTTTCACTTAAAAAAATGAGATCCCAGGAATAAAGATTACGACTATGTTATTCTAAAGGCTGAAATTAGTCTAATACACTGGGTCAACTGCACAGTCCACTTTCAGTTATTTGTTTGGAAGACAGCAGAGAAGAGCTATTTATGGCATTTGGAGTTTGACAATCCTGGGCTGGAGTTCCAGTACCTCCACTAATCAGCTGTGTGGCCTTATACAACTTAGCCTCCCGGAAACTCAGTTTCTGGATCTGCAAAATGAAATAACAATGCCTATCTCCACAGGGTTTCTGAGAAGCTTAAATAAGATAACAGATGAGAAGTTTCTGCACAGAGACAGGCAGCCAAGGGCAACTGTTATTGTTTCAACTGAAAGCTTTTATCTCCCTAACCTTTGGGCTTTTAAGGTTCCTTTGTGGAAATTGGAAAAGGTGCTCTCATTAGTCTTGAATTGAAACACAGTCCATACATTAAGGTCAGAGATAAGGGATGCTCTGTACCCAGTTGAAGCCAGATAAACAATTCCTCTTCCCATCCTTGCGCAGAGATCCCTACTTTGTTCAAATGGCACGATCCAGGCACCTACCTTTACACAATCCATTTCCTTTCACTATTTTTTTTGTTAGAGCTTTAAGATCTATTATTTGTTCTATTTGATCTACCCTCATCAGGTCCAAATGCAGAGTGCCTAATTTAGAGAGGAAACCAATTTAAACACAGAAGACTCTACTGAGAACCCAAGGTCAGATGACATGGGATTGGAGAGCAGAAGCAAGAGTCTAAAGGAAACCCAAGAGCTATTATTGCCAGTGTTATCCCTGACTGTGTGAGGTGAACCTTCTACCTCTCACACCCTCTACCCACCCCCAACACAATATTCCATCCACAAGAGAAAGTCCACAGAGAGTTCTCAGATGGAAAGTGCTTCATCTCCAAATCTAAATTGTTTACTTCAAGAAACTCTAGATATTAAGGTTGTAAATAAGAAGGCAGAAAGGAGCAGGTGAAGTATCTTGGCAGGTTGAAGATGAACCCAGCAGTCAAAGGGCATCAGACTGTTCATTTTGCTTTCAAGCATCAGGAGTCAAGATCTCACTTATTTGTGGAATATAATGAACATAACAGTCTGAAGAACAGGGTAGTCCCAGCGACGTGGAAGTAGGGTACAGACTGACAATCCCCAGAAGAGGGGGTCGTGGGGGAGAGATAAACCACAGAACTTATATGCATGTATGCATGAACAATGGACATGGACAACAAAGCTGGGGACAGGGCGGGGAGGGAGGGGGAGGAGGGTGTCAATCGGGGAAAAAGGAGAAACATCTGTAACAACAACAACAAAAAATACTAAGAACAAGACCCACGGGGATTCTCCTAGCCACAGTTGACATAAGGGAAGTAAAGACCTGCTCTCTAAGAACCAGAAGTCATGGAAAATGGAGCAGGATTCCTAGACCCTGGCTTCACAACCCATTCACTCTGGACAGCCTGCATGCTGTTTCCATGGAGTTGCTCCTTCTCTGGGGCCAGTGATGGCAAATCCAGCAAAGGAGAGGTCCTTTCAAGAGCTTACAGAAGGGCAACCTAGCAACCTGTCCTGGTGCCAGAAAATGAAAGAGCTCTATCAGCGGCAGAGCTGTGGTTGGGGGTTAGGTAAAATTGTGTTTCATTTCTCATACTTCTTTCTCAAGTTCAAGTTGAAAGAGGAAGATGTTATAAAGAAAAATTGCGGGGGAATGGTTCTGAACCATTTCTGGGCAAGCAACTTATTTGAAAATCTACCAAGCTGTGGCCTCAGAGAGATACACGAGGTCCAAATTATTTGCCAACAATTTCAGGAAAAAACCCTAGGTAGGAATCTCTGCTCTGGAGTTGTATCTCATGAGATATACTGTGAACAGGTATATTGGCAGCAGGCCTACTTACTTATTACCCTCAGCATGATGTGTTTTTGACAGGATTCACAAACCTCTCTACACCTTAGAATTAACAATGGCACTGTTTAAAATTATACATCACCCCCCACCCCAGTCCTAGTAAATCCAAATTCCCCCAAGGTGGGTCTCAGGAATCTGTATTGCTTACAAGCTCTCCAAAATGATTCTGAGGCAGCCAGCCTTATACCCATACTTTGGTTCATAGCATGGGTTCTGGCATCAGAGAGATTGGTGAAAATTTTGGCTTCATCTTATAATTTCAGGTGTCATTTCACTTCTGAGCTTTATCTCCTCTTGGGCCATAAGCTGTAGAAATAACATTTTACCTAAAAATATAATAAACCGGCAGCTTGTTTTAGTGAAAACAAGCAAACAAAGCAGTGTAAAAAAGAGAAAGAAAAGTGCCTCAGTTTCCTCTTTGGTACACTTGATAATGTAAAAGTTGCCAGCATCTTTCCCCACCCCTCTCCCAGCTGCCTTCTTATCCCCTCCCTCTGCACTAATAGCACATCCAGACTACTGTTGACAAGGTTTGAGAACATCAATGTAAAAAGTCTTCCTACGCAGCTCAGTCAGGCAAATAGTTAGCATTTAGAGAACAAGACTTGGGTGCAAAATCGAACGCTGATACTTATTTGCTGTGTGATTCCAGGCAAGATACCTAACCTCTCTGTGTCTGTTTCCTTATCTGTGAAATGGAGATAGCAGTCCTTTCTCGTTAATTTTATATAATTCTAAATGAGCCCTCCCATCTCCACTTTGGCTCTTCTTCACTAACCATCAATCTGAGAGTACAGGAGGTTCGCAAGAGGCAGCCTTTGAAATCAGACATGTTGACTTGGTCATGAGCTCTTAGTTCTACACTTCCTAAGCGTATGGTCTTGGCGCTTAAGTCCCCTTTCCGTTAAATGGGCATGCAGTTACCTCCTTCCCAAGGCTGCTGAGAAGAATCAATGAACGTCCCTGCAAGCGCATCTGCACGCAGATAGCGCTCAATAAATGCTCCCCGCCCCTTCCCCCTATACAAAGGTGAGGAACTCTTATTGTTCACTTGATTTCTGTCCCACCTCTTGTTTAAAGCATCCAGTCGCAGAGCCGGAAGGAAAATGCTGTAGAAGGAGAGAGGGAGAAGGGAAGGGACAGGAAAAGCAGCAAACTCACGGGTAAAATGCAAATCGGCCAAATCGGTGCTTCCGAACTGCACTTGACACCACGCTGGCTCCCAAGCCTGTGTGCCGCAGCCCCCGCCAGCCGGCTCCCCCCTTTTGCTAACAATAGCCTCAGGGCCTGAGGCAGCGCGGGGAGGCCGCCTCCGCGCCCCACTGATTGGCCGCGCAGCCCAGCTCATCGTGCTCTTTTGTCTCAATGGGCAAAGGCTGAAAGAAGCTGCTGCTGCTGGGAGGGCTTAGCGGGTAGGAGGGGGTGACCACAGCTGCCCTGGGAACCGTGCAGCCTCGACTAGGCTCCCCCTTCTGGGTGGCCCTGCGGAGCAACTTGTTCTAACATCCCCAAGTCCCTTAGCGGCCTAGGAGGCGTCATCCTACCCTCCACTCCCCACCGCTGCCACAGGGCCTTAGAGACCCGAAGGCGGCATCCACCGCTCTCCACGCATGACCATCCACTGCCCACCCGCTGAGTACAGGTAAAGAAAAGGGGTGGACTTCCCAGCGCTGTAAGGGGCCCAGGGGGAAGCCCCACCAGGACTGGGCGGCTCCACGCTTGGGAAATCAAAAACTGTGAGGCAGGGGAAGGAGCTCTCCCATTCCCTGGCTGCGCTGAGGGAGGAGGTGGGGTGCCACTGGATGCTACTTAGATAGGATTTGCCTGGATTGAGAGGGGGTCGTTTTCAGAGGGGGGAGAAGGTAAGAGGCTCAGGATGAAGGAGAATCGCTAGCTATCTGCCTTGAATCCCTTTGCATTTCCTCTTGTCCTGGAGGGGAATATATGGATGTGAGTGTCCAACTCCTATTCTCTTTCTTGGTGGCAGGCCTTCAAAGCCGAATGCGAACTTCATTCAGTTCTGTGAGGCTGGTTGCAGAGTGCTAGGCTGAAAATTTCCTTGGGAAAATATAATGCAGGGGTCGCTTTGGCTTGTATTCAGAAGATGGGAGAGGAAATTTTCCGTCTGGCTACAGGGGATGTTGAAGGGTCGGGGTGGAGGTGGGAGAGAAATGAGGGAATGGGCTGCTTCTGACTCTTCTCTTCCCTGCCTTGCCCACCAGAGGATGCAGTCTTGAGGACCTGAGGACTGGAATATTCAACTCCGGCTGGTCAAAGGTCGACCTACCCCAGAAGTGAGCTTTCTCATGGAGGGCACCTGTTGAAGTGGCTGGAAGTGAAATAAAGGTGTACCCTTGTTTTCAAGCTTTGGTGAGAAATGTGAAATAATGGGCAAACTTTGAGAAGGGGCTATAGGTGAAACCTGAGACCAAAAATTTAATCTTATTTATTACCATAAATATGTGAGATTTAGACAATTGCACTCTATTTTGAGGGCCCAGTTTAACTCCACACATTATTTTACCTGGAATTTGAAGGTATTGTTTGCCCACTCTCATCCCTCTTGGATTGGTGTGAGGAGATGGATGTGGCTCTGAAAAGCATCCTTCTTATCATGGAACACTTACTAGCTCCAGAAGGTTATAACTGACAGTTTCCTGTAGGGTAATTTTAGGGCAGTGGGCAAATATAAAATGCACTGTAGGGTATTCAGGAGGGTTGAGAAAGCTACTGCAGGCTGCTTCCCTGAGGGCTACTACCTTATTGAACTTATCCTTCCCTTTTCTTTACAGCTCCTATTGAGGTACAAGGAAGGCAGAGCCCAGGAACATTGCTCTGGGGATTCCTCTTGAAGATTAGGCTTTTCTAAAAAGCCTGAGCATCTTGTTACATATAGATGATCATTGATCATTCTGTCTTGGCTAGCATCAGTGCACATGTGGGCAATAGCCAGCGGCAGAATGCACACTTGCCCGCTTGGGCCCATTCCATGTTGAGGTTCCTGGGAAGGAATCTTGGTCCTTTAAGGGTTAACAGGGCAGAAAGAAACATGAAGTTGTTTTCTGGCATGGTGGTACCTACCCAAGGGGAAGAAACCTTTGAAAACTGGCTAATCCAAGTCAATGGGGTCTTGCCAGATTGGAAATAGTTTGAAGAGGAGAAGCTAAAGTGCCTGAAAACCCTTAGGGGCCCTGCTCAGGAGGTCATGTGTTTGCTTCAGGCAGCCAACCCCAGCCTAAGTGTGGCAGGTTTCTCACATGCAATGAAATTGGTCTTTGGGGAGTCTGATAGCAGTGTCGCTGCCCATAGTAAAATTTTCAACACTTTGCAGGCACAGGGGGAGAAAGCCTCCCTTAATGTGATCCGTTTAGAAGTACGGCTCCAGAATGCCATTTGGCAGGGATCATACCTGAGAAAAATGCAAACCAGACTCTCTTGCACCAGCTCCTTTCAGAGGCCCAGCTGAATGGGGACCTGCATTACAGGCTGAAGCATCTTCTCAAGATATATGCAAATGATCAGGAGCATCTCCCAAATTTCCCGGAGTTAATCAAGATGATAAGGGAGGAGGAGGATTGGGGTAACAATTTTATAAAATGGAAGCAGGCCAAGAGATCTGAGCTATTATTCATGGAGAGGGCAGCAAGCCCTGTAGCATTTCAGGTCCCCTAGCCAATTGTGATCAGCAGTGCTGACTGCAATGTGATAGAGCTAGATGATACCTCAGTGACTCAGATGAGGATGTGATCCTGGTAGACCCTCCACTTCCATCCATGGGTGCCCCTCCCCTCAGAGACAGGGTCAGACCTCAGGATCAAGCACTGGTCATTAATTCCCCCAACAGTTCCCAAGTTCAATCTCCTTCCACCAGTGGTGGTTCTGGGTATAAGAATAATGGTCCTGGGCATATGCTTAGAGACAAGAAGTGAAAATACACAATCTGCTGTTCATACTGTGGCAAGGAGGACCACTCCAAGGAAATCTGTGACAATAAGAGCAACAAGGTCCAGGTATTTGAGAACCTGATCATCACCCTGCATGCACTGACACCTACAGAGGAAGAGGGGTCAAAAGAGGTACCTAGTGAACACAATGATCTCTCTGAGCCACAGTATGGTGCTAAACCCAGCCTTAAGTGAACCCTTAGCTATATTCAAAAACTGGTGATGAAAAAAATGGGGGTAGTTTCTATCTTTGTGAATTAATCCACAAAATAGTTTTCTTTGGGGAAAAAGAGGTCTTGGAAACCAGCAAAGTGGAGGGGATGGCCTGACCTTTGTCCCCCTAAGGGTCTACTCTCTGTATTTATTTCTTTGCTGACTTTATTTGTTTTATGAAAGGAGTAAAACTCTTTGTTAAACCTTAAAAAAATGTAGAAAAATAGAAAAACTAAAGTACAAATTACCTGAAACTCTCCATTCATATAACCATTGTCATCCCTTTGATGAATGTCCTTTTAGGTATTTCATTATTTATATATATATATATATATATATATATATATATATATATATAATCAAATGTAAGTGCTGTTCTGTACTGTGTATTTTTCACCAAGCAATGTATATGGTGACATTCTATGTCAATGAATATATATAAGCATCAAGTTTAATGTCTCTGTGTGTGATATTACTTTTAGAAATATAGAGGAAAAATAAGAAAACTAAATATAGAAACTGTAATAAAAAGGGTCATACTCTGAAGTGGAATTTTTATCAACCTCATTTAGACATGAGGAAAAGGGAAGCTGAAAAGGGCTGAATATCTACCTAGGAGCCCATTACCACAATTGACCTGTCTCCTAAGTGACAGTCAAGTCCACATCCACTAGTTAATAATGTCCCAATGCTTTTTTCTCTGATGCATCTGAGATATCTGATGATGGGACGGGGTGGAGGCAAAAATGGCAAAAGGGTACTTCAGGGGCTCCATTCCTGTTCACTTTGGGAAGGGGCAGCTCTTCCTTCCCTGGGAAAATTCCATAGATTGCTGCTACTGCTGCTTCTGGACAATGCCTGGTAGCAGCATCAAAACTGCCCTTTGGGCTGACACTGCCCACTCTGCATCCTCCAAAATTACAGAGAAGCTACTTGAGAGTGTGGTACGAGGAGGCTCAGTCCTCCCAAGCCTCGCTCTAGACGCATGTAAGAAGATACAAAAAGCCCAAAGATTCCAAGCTAACCTCACCTGGCCCCAAGAATGAGAATAGCCAGGGAAAGATGAAAAGCAATCTGGATGCCACAGCATGTAAAAATATGGGAGCTAGAAAGCTCACATAACCTTTTAGAACTAAGGGCAATAATAGGATAGAGAAAACATAGAAGGACCTTCCTAGCCTCCTGCCCCATTTCATGGCCTCAGATTGGAGAGTCATAGAAAAGGACATGTACCCTGGCTGGGTGGCTCAGTTGGTCGGAGTGTCGTTCTGTACACCAAAATGTTGCAAGTTTGATTCCGGGTCAGGACACATACCTAGGTTCAGGTGGGCCCCAGTCAGGACATGTTCAGGAGAATACTGATTGATGTTTCTCACAACCATGTTTCTCTCTCTCTTCCTTCCTCTCTATAAAAAATAAATGACTTGTGACCACAGCCCCTGAGGGTCCCATGTTTCTAGCAGTTTTATCAGTTCCTACCGTTATGAGCAGGACAAGGTTGGTGGGGGAATGATTTAATTTAAGGCAGTGAGTGGAGTAAAATAAATGCAGACCTGAGGGAGTTTGTCAGAAAGGAAATAGGGGTTCCACTGAACTGAGAGGACAGGATGTGCTTCAGTGGGAGATGGTGTGTGAAGGACAGGAAGTATAAATGTATGCATAGGAGAGAGGAGGAGGGGGGAGGGGGCAGATGACCAGGCTAAGGACTCACATCTAGATTGACAGGAAGCCTGGTAGGAACTTCAGACCCAGAGGTTCCACACAGAACCCTGGGCTATGTGGTCCTGAGGAGAGGGAGGTGTTGGGGCTCTAATTAAGCCAGCAAGTAATGGCCCACCTAATAGGGACAAAGGAGGCCCCCAGGCTGAGGCCCAGAGGGAAGGGGAGAAGCCAGGCACTTCAAGAAGCCCACAGCAGCCTTCCCTGGGCTGCTGCACCCAGAAACTGCCTTGAAGGGCTTTTCCTTCAGAATCACTGCCTCAGCCCCTCCCTGGCTTCTTGCTCCTGCTCCATCCATGATCCCACAATCCCATCTTGCAACTCCCCCCCCCCACTCTCACACCCTCTCTTGGTGGAGGGGGGTGGAGGTTCAGCCTCCCCTGCTGTGCCATCACCCCTTCCCCACCCCACATTCCATGTTTGCTTGAAGCCCCACCTCTTTGTCACCCTCTTGACCAAAGGAGACTGGGAGGGCCCCTCTGCCTGAGACTCTTTAGCTGAGAACTGGCCAGGAGCAATGGCTCCAGAGGCCCACTCCTTGCATCCATCTGGAGCACTTCTGGGACCCTGGCAGCCACCTCCATCTCACCAGAGCCAAAAGGGACCCCTCCCTCACTCCAGGTAGGAGGTAGCTCCACTCAGGCTCCCAAAGCCACAGGGGTCCCCAACATTTCCAAGGTGTCTTCTCAAGGGTTTTCTTCCTTAATTTTTACCTGCATGTAAATAAAGATGGGTGGTGAGGGAAATGTCTGTTCCCTCTTTTATCTCTGAGTACAATAATGTTCCAGTTCCTTCCCACACTGAATGACTTCATCAGATAATCAATCTGTGCTATAATAATTTCTTTCTGGGCCTAGGTAAAGTAAAAAAAAATAATAAATGAATAAATGTTACATTTACCACCACCCTCCTTTTCATTGGAGATGCTTGGAGGTTCAGTATAGACCACTGCTTTGAAAACTTTTCTGTGATTCATCTTTCGGCCCTCCCCCATCCTTTTGTTGTGTAAACTTGAAATTGTCTACATTTTTATTTCACCAAAATGATGCAAACCAAAATCTTCATTTGACTTTGTGTGGCACTGGCTTTTCCCTTATTCAGGAAATGTGTAGTTTTTTATTTGGAAGACATGACACACTTGGGCATTCAGATCAGATTAAGAGAGTTCGCCACTATATGGCTTTTAGAGAATTTTGTGTCTGATAGCCTTCATCTATGATTAGGGGTCTTTTCCTTTTTTTCTTTCTTCATTCTCATTAGTTACTCAAAGATGAAATGAGTCTTTTGTTGGGAGAAACTAGCCTTTGAATAACCTTTTGCATTATCACCCTACTTGTACATACTTTTCCCCCTTAATTTCCATGACACCCCTATCTCATAGTTTCCCCCTCCCAGAGCTTTCTGGTGCCTACTTCTCTGTCTCCTTCGCTGAACCTTCTTTCTCTTCCTGACCCTTTCATAATAGGGATAAAAATTTAAATCACCACAACACACCCGGCCAGTATGGTTCAGTGGATTGAGTGTCATCCCATGAACAGAGGTCTGGGTTCAATTCCCAGTTGGGGCACAAAACTGGGTTGCGGACTCAGTCCCCGGTGGGGCATACAGGAGGCAGACAATCAATGTTTCTCTCTCATATTGATGTTTCTATCTTTCTTCTTTCCTCTCTAAAAAAATCAATTTAAACATATGTAGCCTGGCCGGTGTGGCTCAGTGGTTGAGCACTGACCCCTGCACCAAGAGGTCGCCGGTTCGATTCCTGGTCAGGGCACATGCCCAGGTTGTGGGCCAGGTCCCCAGTGGGGGGCATGTAGGAGGTGGCCAATCAATGTTCTCTCTCATCAATATTTCTCTCTCTCCCCCTCTTCCCCTCTCTCTAAAAAAATCAATACAGCCCGGCCACTGTGGCTCGGTGGCTGAGTGTTGACCCATGCACCAAGAGGTCGCCAGTTCAATTCCTAGTCAGGGCACATGCCCCAGTTGTGGGCCTGATCCCCAGTGGAGTAGGTGGCCAATCAATGTTCTCTCTCATTGATGCTTCTATCTCTCTCTCCCTTTCCCTTCCTTTCTCTCTAAAATCATTAAAGAAAAATTATCTTTAAAAAATCAATACATAAAAAAATTTTTTTTTAAAATATACTTAAAAAAAAAAACCCCACCACAACACTACTGTGATTTATTGAAAGCTTAATTATGTGCCAGGTACACCTTAAATGTAGTAGCTCTTTAATTCTCATAGCAATCCCATAAGATAGTTATTACTCTTATTTTCTAAATTACTATTAATGTTAATTACTGCTAGTTGCCATATCTTCAGATGAGGAAACAATTGGCAAATTAGGACACTACCTAGGACCAGGCAGCTAGTGAGTACTGATTCCAAAGCATGTGCTCCTTGCTTGGGTTAACTCTCTGGTACACAGTACTATATGATGTAGGTACTTATGCACATGATACATGAGGAGACAGGTCTATGCACATGAAGTGATTAGCCAAACATCATAAGAGCAAGTAGCTTGCATGTCACACACAAGGATGAGATCTTTATGAAACACTTGTTTGACAGGATACAGGATTTTTTCTACTTTTCTTTTTCATTTGCTCTGGCTTGTAGCTGGCCCACCTGCTGCCTGGCAACCATTTCTTCCCCCACCTTCAGTTGAATTATCACATTCCATTCAAGCACTAAGTTGTTTCCTGTCTTTGCTTTAGGTGCAATGGTTGTGAATTTAACACATACAAGAGGAGATGGTAGCAAAAGGCAGTGGGGAAGGGATGAATTTGTTCAATAGTGGTGCTAGGGAAAGTTCAGTATCTGATTGAAAAAAAGATGTTTACTTTGTCCTATGATACTAAATATAAATTCCAGATCAATTTGAGAACTAAATGGAGATTTTTATACAAGTGTGTACTAATTCTTTAATAATATATTTTGTTGTTATGAAAGTAATAAAAATAATCAAATGTTCAAGAGATACTCTTTTTAAAACTGCAAGAAAACAAATATTTATTAAATCTCCAGATTGGAGAAGGCTTTCTATGATTAAGAATGATGAAAGAAATTACAAAGAAAAGACCAATGTAAATCAGAATTAATTTTAGACTCTAATAAAGAATGAAAAGCATTTATTTGAGAAAAAAAAAAGGAGCTGCAGCTCAGGAAAAACACATTCAAGTAGCAACTTAAATTGTGATCCACAGAAACAAAGGGGAGACCATCTTTTATCAATTAGGTCCGTTTTATGTAAGTGATCTATCCAAATTGTGCAGTTCTGATTAGACAGGGTAGGTCTCAGTCTATTGGTAAAAAGATGAAACCAAAGCTTCCCTGCAATGGTTGAAACAAGCAGGGCATACTGTGAGAAGCAGAGAGTTCAGTATGAG